AGAGTATTTACTTACTTAGCTACAATTCCGTGTTCTTTTGCTAACCTCGTTATGCAGTCATCTGACTCTCCCTAAAAATAAATCCATGTATTAGTAAGAGATAAATTATTTGTTTATCGTAGAATTAGATTTTATAGAATATTCACTTGATTGGAATTAAACATTTATCCTAAGAGGACGCTACTACCTTACATATGTACATCATATCAAAAATGGTTTAACATGGGATAGAACGGAGGCTAATTATAACTAAGAAACAACATTTTAATACATAAAAAGAAAAACCTTGGTTTTGAAATATTGTTTTAATTTACTCAAAATCGGAATGAAAAACACAAAGATTAATGGATTTCAAAACAATTTAACTTTTTTTCATGGAATGATATCAAAAAAATAAAAATTAGATTTCAGAGATAATKTTTTTAAATATATTGTATAACAATTTGAAATCCTTGTGAGTAGTTACACCCAGGGCTCACACAAAGGAGAGAAGGATCTATGGTACTGGGGGTTCATGCAAATAATTACTTTCATATATATTTTCAAAAATTTTCAAAATTAATTGTTATTTAAGAAGGGGCTGAATTTAATTCAGTACCAGGGCCAAAAATATGACGTGGGTGGTCTGGTTATATCATGCACAATAAATTATTGCTATGTTGTACATGGGTGTAGTGTCTAGTTAAACCTCCCAAACAGGGGAAGTTTGTGGTTTTATTAGCATAATTTAATAGGTTTACAGAGTTGAGAGTATGAATTTGTTATGTATATACTGGCAAAGAAGAAAAATTTATAACTTACATCATTAGGTCAACAAAATAAGAAATGTATTATTTTAGAAAAAATATAGTACATTTCAATGTTCATATACATATTTGATAAAATATATTCCATGACATTGAAAAAAAGGACAACCTTTTATTCAACTAATGGCAACCCATAACTAAGGAAAAACTGTTCATATTATATGTTTTAGAGTAGTAGTTATCATAATTGTTAATTTTTTTTTTATTAATGTGGAATTTTGATGGGTTGAACAATTTTCAGATTCCTAATGTGGCCCTTCAAAAATATTAATTTTTGATTACTGTTTCACTCTAACACAGGCAAAATTATAATCGATTGAAAGAATAATTGGAATGGATATAAGCAATCAAACTAATGAAGCAAATATAAGTCCTACACAGCAAATGTTTAAAATAAAATAAATTTAAAAAAAGCAGAAGTTAGAATTAGRCCGAGATTCAAAAAATTGAATTTAGTATACTAGTAAGAAGTCATAGATAGTAACATAGAAAAGTATATAATTCCAATTCAACTGAAGAAGTAATCATGTTATTTAGTATACTAACCATACGACGAATAGCTCCACTAATGGTCAAAATTTTGTAATTTCCAGTTATGCGACCAGTGGACGAGTCGATTTCGGCTAAATTGATCTGAATAGAAGCATGATCTTTAGCAGGAATGATACGGTTGCTGGCAGAGCTATTAAGAAAGTTACAACATTTAGTCAATAAAACAATAATCACAGAAAAATGCCATGTGGCTCTAGAACATCTCGACGTTTACTGTCACGATTAAAAATAAATTCACCGTCACCCGACCAATTCTCACCATTTCCTTGGGCAGTACAAATCAACGAATTCTCCGGCGTCGTTTTGCATTTTGARTTTTGTGAATTTCTGACTTCTCGATCCAAAAATCCTAGGCGAACGAAATCTGAAAAGATCTTATRGAACTATGGAAGTAATCAAGTAAATACTATAGTCAATGGAAATCGAGATCATAAAATGATATGGTATACATAACCTCAAAATTCTCGTAGACAGTTCTATAATTTTAATCTCTTTGGTGATTAATAATGTGTGAAGTAAAGACCGTGGTCTATGAAGCGCGCATGCAATTGGTCGAGCCGTTTAATCCATGAAATATTTATTTGCCCGGGTTTAAAATTTTGAAATGCCCCAAAAAAAATATAATAATGTAAATAATAAATAATAAATAATAATGTAATTGCCTACTCCCGTATTTCACACGGCTTACTCCTATTTTCCGATTCCTATTAAATAATAGTTTAAAAAA